CTGAAAGCCGTTATACGCGTGACATACTGAGATTTAGAGAGCACATTTACGACTCTTCTAAGGATATCGCAGAGTTCTTATCTCGGGCATGATTTCTATGGAGACGCTTGACGAAAGACAAACTTGAAAACAGTGATGCTGTAGAGGCCGTTATCGGAACCGTGGGTGACGAACGCCTTAGAATTGAGTTAATGAATGTTAGGGCCCCCTCGATGCCAGAATTGATATTCGTTGCCTCATCCATTCGTGTTAAGCATCCCATTACATTCCATAAATAATTCAAATCTACCGCCCAAAAAAAAAAAAAAAAGTTTTAAATATTATTTTGATAACAGAAGTTCTTCTTGTAGTATTTGCGAAAAGATCTGCCATACTTCTGATAATTGCCGTACTAAAAGTAATTCTAACGTCCTTCCATTCGATAAAAATCGGTCGACGCCTTTAGCTACAACTAGTGATAGTAAATTTTGTTCATTTTTGTTCAAAGCCTGGTCACACATTCGAGTTGTTTTTTTTTTCGCCGCGAAAAACTAATAACTTCTAATATAAATTAATTGAGTGATAGTACCCGCAGTTCTATCTTAAACATCCTGCGTGTTCGAGTAGGTAATTTGCTTATAAATACTGTTTTCGATAGCGGCACCGAGTGTTCCATTATGCGTGAATCCATTGCGAATTAATTTCCAGGCCATAAGTTATGAACTATTTATGTAGAATTGGTCCGTTCCCTGTTATATCTACCAGCACATTAACAGCTATTATGCGTGATTAATAATATTCCTATAGAGATTTTGTTTCACGTACTACCCGACTTTGAAATAACTTCAAACGTTTTAATTGGTGCGAACTTACTACATGAAACGTGTCTAAGTGTAATTATTAACCGCAATATTGCTACTCTAATCTCTTAAACCTCGTGTCACGCATATACGATCACAAAGTCCTATTTTAGAAAATTTTAATCCTGATTTAATTGATGAATTTGAGATAAATCAACTACTTGCTCTTCTTAATAAGTACTCTTTCGACTTTACTCAAGGTTACGCTAAATCTCGCGTTAACACTGACGAATTAGAAATGCTTCTAAAAAAAAAACCGATGAATACATAGAACGATAGGTAATACTCTTCTTATACTTCTCACCAGACGATCGAACTGTGTATCTCCCGAGTTACATAATTTGGTAATTTTTTATACCACATCCATTAATTACGATGCATTGCAATGTCATGTGCAACAAAGGATGACCGAGGCGTCGGCGAAAGACAAACTCTGGTTTGACATAGAACGGGCTAAGATACACGACACGTCACGGATAAGATACGGACACAAACGAGCATCCGGCATTGTTAATACGCTGGTGACAGCACCAGCACCAGCCCAACCTGCGTAAAAACTAGCTAGTGATAGTTCAGGGTTTCGTCAGTAATCGTCGATTAGAGACATAGGAAAATATGGATTCCATCCCGGTGAGAAACATTCACGTTATATTCTTACTTAACAATCACATTATAGCGACACAGCTTTCCCTTTCGAAAGCCTAAGCAGACTGATAGAGATTGATCGGGCGGCTGGAAACAAGCTTCAAGTCTCCGATAGTTAAGCTGTTGTCATACGGAACGAGCCTGTTAACGGGCCAATAAGTGATGGTGGATCCCATGATTCGCTTTCCCTAAACGATTTACAGCCTCAAAACGTGCAAAATGACGACGGTAATCTGGTAGACAACGGTGCTGGACGTTCAGTCATGATAGATGCTACAATTTAAATGGTGAGCAGTTTCTAATTTATTCTAAGCTACTATCTATTATAATTACTGAATCTATTAATTACATAGCTAAACAATTTACACTCAACATGAGTGCTGGGACACGGCGTCCATTACCGTTCAGCACCCAGTTCCCTATTATCCCGTCAAATAAAGAGACTTCGTGCCTGTCACGGAGCAATGGTCCTAAGCTCCTTACCTTACTCTCCATCAGATCAAAGACTTTGTGTCTATCACAGAGCGGTGTTCCCGATCCTACTTCCTCTATTCCTTCAAATCAAAGACTTTGTGTCTATCACAGAACATTACCGTCACGTGAGAAAAATATAAACATAAGTAATCCTTTAAAAATAAAAAATAAATTATAGCCGTGGAGGCGACAATTTACACTCTCATGTTATCCTGCTGGGACACGTCGTCCATGACCGCTCAGCACCCAGTTCCCTATTTTCCCGTCAAATAAAGAGACTTCGTGCCTGTCACGGAGCAATGGTCCTAAGCTCCTTACCTTACTTTCCATCAGATCAAAGACTTTGTGTCTACCACAGAGCGGTGTTCCTGATCCTACTTCCTCTATTCCTTCAAATCAAAGACTTTGTGTCTATCACAGAGCATTACCGTCACGTGAGAATGATACAATACTATACCTAATTGAAAGTACAACTACAATCTATAACTTTACATATTTACAAATGCAATGAGAATAATTTATGGTTTTAATTATTAAAATTAAGTGCGAGTGGTAAGTTACACTCTCATGTTATCCACTGGGACATGGCGTTCATTACCGCTCAGCATCCAGTTCCCTATTTTCCCGTCAAATAAAGAGACTTCGTGCCTGTCACGGAGCAATGGTCCTAAGCTCCTTACCTTACTCTCCATCAGATCAAAGACTTTGTGTCTATCACAGAGCGGTGTTCCTGATCCTACTTCCTCTATTCCTTCAAATCAAAGACTTTGTGTCTATCACAGAGCATTACCGTCACGTGAGAATGATACAATACTATACCTAATTGAAAGTACAACTACAATCTGTAACTTTACATATTTATAAATGCGATGAGAATAATTTAAGGTTTTAATTACTAAAATTAAAATTTAAAAGCTTCACTTACTATATGATCATCTCGTCATTATTGGTTATGGCTCCCAATCAAAGCCATTATTTACAAAATGAATACTGTGTTAACAGGTCAATGGAGATAGATTATTCACGGCAGGTGCAGAGCGCGCACCGCCGCTCAGAATGGCCGTGTCGCCGCAAGGATATCTTCTAAACCTAAACTTTGCATTGTCTTTTAATTCTTTATAAATTATAATTGTTAATATTACAATTTAATAACAGCAATTTATCAGAAACATAACATGTAACTAGCTAGTTCTTTAAAAACTCTTTTTGTTTACAAATCTCTTTATTGACAACTATTTCCTGGTAAAACAACTATTTATTCCATTATCAACTTTTAACTCAAATATTGTTTTAAATCATAGAATAAGTAATGGTCGATTTGATTATTAATCCTGGTAATTGAAATTGCTTAAGTAACCTAATGAATTCAATAAAAAGTTATTGTTTAGTCAAGTATTGACCAATCAAATCGTCGACCAATCAGAGCACACCTAAGTCGTTATTACGTTTTCCTTATTGAATGAATGCGGGAACAGAATCACTTCAGTTCCAGCGCTCGTCAGTGTAGTTCTATTTTCCTGGTAAAACTTTGCAAGTATTATTTGTGAGTCTCAAAATAGGAAGTGTAGAATAAAGTTGTAGTGCAAAATTAAAAGTGTGTGGTCTTAGATCTCTTTCATTACAATGGAAACAATATGCGGTAGCTCGACTGAACCCTTGTCAAATGGGGACAGTGGTGCTGCCTCACCATAAAAACAACCACTATGTTTTCCGCCCCAACAATCATGTAGTTGTGTCCTTCACATTGCGCCGGTGTGTAATTGTGACAGGGACACACTGCAGTACGGTCAAACTGTAATTACTCTATGCTGAATGTATAGAGCGTTACGCTGTCCTATTATTGATAACAATAAATTGCGCAAGCAAGAGAGCAAGTTGAATATCAGCTCTCACATTTTTACCATTTTTAATAATTAACGCTATCCTGTTATTTCCAACACAATTTTGGCTTATCGTGTTACACCATTTATAATAATAATATATATATATATATATATATATATATATATATATATATATATATATGTGTGTGTGTGTATGTATGTGTATGTATGTATATATGTATATATATGTGTGTGCTTGTATGTATATATGTAATGATATATTGAATATATTTTGCCATGATATAAATAAATGAATTACAAAATTAACTCGTAAAGTAAATCACATATGAATTTGTCAGAAAGACCTAATATCTTAGTGTTAGTAAACCTAAAATTACTTAATTTTATTACTGTTATTTTATTAAGTTGTTTTAATTTGTTTAATTTCTTATCTTAATAATAGCTTACCTTTATATTTAATATGTGGATAACTGTTATTGGCATACTTGAAGTAAATTTGAAATTGTATTTAGTGATATACGCTGTTGTTATCCTTATTAAAATAAAATAAAATAAAATAAAGTACTCCACTACCCCATACACTGCTCGAGGGATTCTAGAACTGTACAGTCAATCTTGTACAGCTCGAGGACCCTCTTTAGCCATGTATACGTGGTTATACGTGGTAGAGCCATGCTGCAGTTATATTGGATGTATAGTTGTAGCACGAATGGGTCGGCTCGACCGGGGCTCGACCGGGGAAGGACCACGCTCTCACAGAATACCAGCGTGAAATAGTAGCTTAATGCTGCTGTATTTCGTATGGTGAGTGTAGAGAACCGGCGACCCATTTTACTGGAAACGAGGCATTCCATCTTAGTCCTCACGGGTGACAACACATCTGCATTTTGATTCGTAATCGAGGTAACGTGATGTCTATGGGCCACAGCAAACACTTACCATCAGGTGGACTGTGTGCTCGATTGTCACCCTATCCTATAAAAAAAAATGTAGGGGGGCACCGAGTCGAACGCCTTTCTGTAGTCCATCCAGGCGGCGGAGAAGTTCCGACGGTTGCGTTTCACCATTTTACTAACGACCGCGTCAATGAGGAGTGGTTCCTTGGTTCCACGACTACCGCCCCGACATCCATTTTGAGCACGTGACATCACCTCATTTAGCTCCAGGTGACGAGTGATTCTCGCGCTCAAAATGGATGTCAGTATCTTATGTGGGTAGTATTTACTCTTATATGGGTACACGTGATGGGGCGGTATTTACTCGGGTCTGTGGTATACTGATCTTTAGGAACCAAGTGAGTGATCCCAGTAGTGAAGAGGCTCGGGAGCAATTTCTGATCGAGAGCCTCTTGAAACTGTCGGGCGAGCACAGCGTGACACACTATGAACCCCTTCAGCCAGTAATGATGCAGTCCGTCGAGCCCCGGACTTTTCCAGTTCGGGGCCCTACGAACCGCCTCAGCCACGTCTTCCGGCGTTATGGTGACGGGGTATATAGGCGTAACACTCGCACTCTGGCTCGCCACAACTTCCATCCAAGGGCCCTCGCTGTGGTTTACGGGCTCTGACCACAGGCCACGCCAAAATGCGACAGTGTTAGCCTGATCCGGTCCCGGGCGCGCTCCACATACCTCTGGTCGCTCCAATGATTTACAGAGCCTCTTCCGATCACTTTGGAAGAGACGGTTCTGGTTGAACCGCCTTGACCTCTCGGTAAATCGTCGAATCCGCTTCCCCCAAGCAGCGATCTTTTGCTTCAGATCGTCTATGCACTCTGTTAGTTTCCGCGTGATATCCGGCTGGGACAAACTGATATTTGTCCCAGCAAACGCCATTCTAACGGTGCGCATAACTCTCGGTCTATTATTAACCGACCTGAAGCTTATCAGTCTGCCGATAAGAGCCCTTGCCTTTGCGATACGGTCCTCAATTCTTTTTCTCCAGGCTGGGATGGCGCTACTTTGTTTAGTAACGCGACCAGCCATGGGAAGTTTGGCGCCAATAATACGGAAAACTGCCATTGCGGTGCCAAAAAGAACTGAGTCCGTCTCGCAAAGGTCCCGACTGGCTCCCAAATAGGTTACCAGCATTGGGTTAAGAGCCCTCACGACAGTCCGATTTCGTTTGCTAAGGGATATGCGGGGAAGTCGCGGTCGATTTTCAAGAGGCATGCTGCGCGTTTCCAAAATCGCCTCTTCCAAAATACTCCTCATTTGCTCTAGTCCGTGGGAGACCATTTCATCATCGTCCGAATCAACCACAACTGGAAAATCCATAGCGGCTTCCACGCATGGATGCTGGTCTGTCGCCTGAGGAGCAGCATCCCCGGTCATAGCCAATTAATTCGTAGTCGTTCGAGCTCGGCATCATCAAATATTTTCGAGCGCATGATTTACCGAACTCGGTCTGCCAGGTTTTGTTCCGTGACGGGAAAAGACGGCTCCAGCTCAGCAAAAAAGCAACTCATCCAAGCCCGATACGCTATCCATGCAGTTTCTTCCCCTTTCGCCCTATAGTACGCCAGCAATGCGTTTGCGTTCATATTTTTTATCCAACGCATGCGGCGCACTCCACCAGAGGCGGATGCCGCTTGCCGAGTCTGAGAGGACCCTGCTAGGTTATCTTGCAGCTCCTCGCGCTCAGCTCGCGCATGCTGCCGCGTTCAGCGCCAGCTCCAGACGCGCCCCAGCGACCCACAGGCAACGGCCCTATACGCTTTCTATTAAAATCCATCATCCATTTTTGGGCGCCAATTAACGGGAGACGCCCAGGCCCGGTAACGTTTTGTTGTATCATTGTAGGGCCGTAAGCACAAACGAGCCTTTGCACCCTGAGTACTGCCGAGGCGCTGACTGACTGCACCGACTTAGCAGTTTTGTCACTTAACTTACGTCAGCGGGCGATGGGGTCGTCACTTCCCCACGCCTTATTATTATTATTATTATTATTACTCTTATCTACTGTTAGGGTGAGGGACGTAGACAGAGAAACCTATAGAGTATAGACGAATGATTTAAACATATTTAGATAAAAATTTAATTGTTCTAAGAACTGAACTGAACAAGATTCACCAATCTTAAGCTCACAAAACAATTTCTTTCTCACTTAAACCAACTTGTAAACTCCTTAGATCGCTACGAACTGTCAAAGTTGTTTAGCAAAGTGTAGTTTGCTAAACAAAAAACCGGCACGGAGAAAGGGACAAACAATCACACCGCTCTGTCTCATTTCTATGCAAGACGTATGCATAAATCTATCTTTTTCGTGTGCGAATGCGAAAGAAGGCGTCAATTTGTCTATAGGTTTCTCTGTCTAAGCTTAGGGATGATCGATAATCATCGATGTTAAAAATTTAAACATCGATGTTTTAAAATCGATGTTGCCACATGTCGAACATCAAAACATCGACGTCAATGAACCCATAATAGAATATTGAAAGGTTATTTTTAAAAGCTGGCTCAACTCTTTATAAACAGAGAAACAGTTTGAAAGATACTTCTTTCTCAAAATTACTGGTTGAAATTTAGAATCGTTTGGCAGGAAGGGGGACAGGGGATGAGGGGAGTGGAAGGGACGAGCGTCCCCTCACCCCCGACACCACTCCCATTAAGAGAAAATACACCGTTTTTAAGAAAAATCAAAAAGAAAATTCCATTGACCTAAACTCAAAATGATAACACTTATCGTCTCCGGCAGGAGGGGGGGAAGAGGGGAGCAGGACTGTACTCTATCAGGGAAAACCCCTCTACCCTTCCTTCCTTGCAGAAAAGTATAGTTTATGAGCAATGGTTTTATTGTAAAATCATAACCTCACTTTTTTACACAGGAATATTGACCCGAAGTTACTTTTACAACGACTTCGGCACTGCGGAAAGTGCAGCCCCTTCGCCCTTGCGTAACGAATCTCAAGCACCGATGCTCACCTCCTCAGCTTCAGCTTATTGGTCGCCTTAGGCGACAAGCTTCAGCCGCTATGGCTCGAACAGGTGTCTGCGGTTTGCTACGGCCGGCGTGAGCTACTCGCCCTCCGCGCCTACGGCTTTACAAAAACACTTTGGAGTAGGGTAGACAAGACTACGTGGAGTCGGAGCGTGCTGATTCAACTTTAGTGTAGTTTCGATCAGATCAGATACCTTTTATTGATAAGGTATCTGATCTGATCGAAACTACACTCAGGTTGCTTTCGCTCCCGCCACAACCTTCTAACCTATTACAACTGAAAGTATTTTGGGTGTTCAAGTATTTCTGGGCAGTTTTAAACAATTCAGAAATAAAACGCACTATATTATTGTTGCGCATCTAAGTTGACGTCTGGCACTAGCGCCATCTAGTGTCGGGTAACAGAGCGAGGAGAGCTTTCCAGAAAATGACATGACTAATCTTTCAATCGACAGCGCCATCTAGTATCGAATTGAAGAACTAAACTTTCTAGAAGCCCTACACTCGAACTTTCGGCGCCTGGTCGGTTGGCGCGCGTATTTACTTGAATATTCTGGATGTTTCGGTGAAAATGTGTTTTAAAGGCGCTGCAATACGCGATCGCGGAAGTATTGAATTTGGCGAGACAAACGAAGCTTCGGAGCGAAATAAAGTGAATCAGTGTGATTAATTATTAGTGTTTTAAGTTTTAATTGGTGTAAAGAAAATTAAAGTGTTAATTTAGGTAATTCTATCGGCAATTTTTATTGTCACGAATCTCAAGCTCGTAACATTATTATAATCATTTATTTGTTTGTCAACATAATTTATTATTTTTATTAATTCCTCAAAAGGATCTATTTTGTTCTTTATAATTTCTCTTCTCCATAAATATTCATATATCAAGTCGCTATTTATCTTTAGATCTCTATTATTATAGTTGACTTTAGCGAAATACCTTTTGACAATACGCCACTGATACTCAATTCTTTGAGTGTGGGTGCCGTCTGCAGCCACAAAAGGGTTTTCAGGGTCATTATGATATACCTTTTTGTGTATGTACCCATAATTTTCTAACCCATCTCAAGCATGCCACATGTTTTTGAATCAAGGGTATTAAAACTTCAGAAGATCGCAACATTTTGGGGGCTAGTGTTAAACCTTCACTGTCATTTTCGATTATGCCCAGCACCTAATGACCTTAAATGTGCTGGCATAAAAGAAGATTAAGTATCTGTTTAAAAATTTATTTGATAAAATTAGCCTATATCATCTCCAGGTCGCTAACTATGTGCATGCATTAAGCCCACAGAAATAGTAATAATAAGACAATAGAAATGAATTAACGCTCAATTACTTCGAAAACCGATGTCACCACATCTTAACACATACGCATTAAGCGGCCGATATCTGCAACCGTATTATAAGCATACGTAATGCACAATCATATCTAATGTTTCACATTACATTGCTCGGCAAGTTTGTCAACGTCGCGAGCGTCGCATATTACGAGAACAAAAGCAGCAATGGTAATTGTACAATACGAAAAGTAATAAATGAAAGTAATAATGAAAGTTACAAGGTTTGCCTTCGGTTTTTAAATATCATAGTAAAGTCAGGCATCTGTCACTCTTGCTACCTGCGTGAAATAATTACCTAAAATCGCGATTCACCCAGGGTGTAATACGCAGTCGGGGCTAGTTTCCGTATATTTTTATTATACTCGTTGGGGCTAGGGCGTTCTACGCGATTGATGTATTGTTAACGCTGTTTACGTAAATAGTATTACGAGCTTGAGGTTCGTAATAATAAAAATTGCCGATAGAATTACTTAAATTAACACTTTAATTTTCTTTACACCAAATAAAACTTAAAACACTAATAATTAATCACACTGATTCACTTTATTTCGCTCAGAAGCTTCGCTAGTCTCGCCAAATTCAATACTTCCCCGATCGCGTATAGCAGCGCCTTTAAATACACATTATCACCGAAACATCCAGAATATTCAAGTAAATACGCGCGCCATCCGACCAGGCGCCGAAAGTTTGAGTGTAGAGCTTCTAGAAAGTTTAGTTCTTCAATTCGATACTAGATGGCGCTGTCAGTTGAAAGATTAGTCATGTCATTTTCTGGAAAAGTCTCTCCTCACTCTGTTACCCGACACTAGATGGCGCTAGTGCCAGATGTCAACTTAGCCGCGCAACAATAGTTTTTTGTAAACACTTGTAATTTTTGTTTAGTGTTTAGTTTTTAAATTGTAGGATAAAATAGTTCAAAATTTTTTTTTATGTGATTTAAAAATAATATATATGTATCTATATAACCTATCTATTTGATAAATTATAATCGCAAAACTTCGAACCTACTATAATTGTTGCGTAGATGAATGCATAATAAGCAAACAAAAGGATTCAGATATATAGTTGCGCGGCTAAGTTGACATCTGACACTAGCGCCATCTAGTGTCTGGTAACAGAGCGAGGAGAGAACTTTCCAGAAAATGACATCACTAATCTTTCAACCGCCAGCGCCATCTAGTATCGAATTGAAGAACTAAGCTTTCTGGAAGCCCCACAATCGAACTTTCTGCGCTTGGTCGGTTGGCGCACGTATTTACTCGAATATTCTGGAATATTCTGGATGTTTTCGTGGAAGAGCCCTATATAAGGACGCTGCAAGATGCGATCGGGGAAGTATTGAAGTTGGCGAGACAAGCGAAGCTTCGGAGCGGAATAAAGTGAATCAGTGTGATTAATTATTAGTGTTTTTCACTTTAATTAGTGTAAAGTGAATTAAAGTGTTAATTTAGGTAATTCTATTGGCAATTGTTATTGTCACGAACCTCAAGCTCGTAACAATTGGTGTGAGAAGTGGGGTAAAATCATGCCGATTTTACCTAAGGAGGAAACGGAGGGTGTCCGTACCCGAAGTCAACGCCAGCAGGAGACGGACCAAAGAAGATTTGGTGGTGCAACGCCGCAGACTTAGGAGGGCCAGCCGCCGGCTGCAGGCCGGTCAGTAGCTCCTACATCTGCAGCACCTGATTTAGGTGCTCTGATGGTGATGCTGCAGTAACAGGCTCGCCGAAAGGAGGAACAGGCTCGCCGACAGGAGGAACAGGCCCGCCGAAAAGAGGAACAGGCCCGCCGAAAAGAGGAACAGGCCCGCCGACAGGAGGAACAGGCCCGTCGGTTGGAAGATCAGCAGGCGGAACAGGCTCGTCGGCCGGAAGAGCAGATGCTGCTCATGAAGGACCTTCATGCTACCTTTAGGGAAGAGATAAGGGAGGTGAAGGATAGGGTTGCTCAACATAACAACCGCCTGTCGGAAGCTGAAACCCAAATGAAGGAAGCTA